ATAGGTAGGTACATTATTATTAACTGAATTAGCATACTCTTAAGCTGGCCTTTGCTGAAAACGTCCTCAATCTGATTGAGGTCCGTTCGCTGAGGTTGCCCCCTTCCAACTCTCCCATCCACACTCGTCTTGTATACTTGTTGCATCTATCTCCTTTCCGAAAACCGACTTCTGCACATGGGCCTCGAAGTTTCAATCGCACTGTATGTGCGCGCCCACACGTGGTATTTTGTGGAAGAGCCAAACTCAAGGGGCCAAAGAGCCGCATGTGGCTCTCGAGCCGTGGTTTGCCGACCACTGGTCTAGTGGAATTACGGAGTCATAAGTACCATCTTGCTAAGTTCCTAAATATATTGTATTAGTGCTGGTGTAACTAATGAAATTTCTCTCATCCTAGCCACGAACTTTAGTTAGCTCTTTTAGCCATTAAATATCTTAACAAAAGAATTGAGAAAACGGGCACTGACAAGGATGCAACATACTGCTCACTTTGTAAGGTGAACAGTCTCTTTTAGGGCTACATTGAAGGGCATTTTCCAAGGTGCTAAATGACATCCTTGAAGTCCTCTTTCTCTCTCCCTCAGTGAACAGTGTGCTCCTAAATTTTAATAATACACCCTGACTCACAGTCTTGGAAGTTTCCTGAGTTGAACATTCTGATTTAAAAAGATGTTTGCTACTCTCGCAGTAGTATTTAGCTGTACCATTTTCTCTAGGATGATAATTTTAACAATTAAAAGTTAGAAGCATGTCTTTTCAGTTCATTGGAAGAGGCATTTAAAATTCTTGTGTTCTTCTCTAGTATCATAAAATAATATTCAGTGTTAGGACCTGGTTTCTTAATTTTTTGACCCCCAATAGCTTTTGCACAGCTATTTTTGGCCTTTACGTGAATATACCTTTATTGTTCTGTACTCAGTGCTTGGAGAGTGTATGTGTAGCAATCACTGTTGATTTTAGCTTCTAGAGAGTGAGGTCTAGATTTTCTGGACATAGGCCATTTTTCAATCCGTATTCATTGACAAAGTATTTGAGATATACGTTAAAGAATAAATGTTACCTCTTCCCTCAATTAAGGACACCCTTAAGAATATAGTCAATAATATTGTAATAGTTATGTCTGGTGCCAGGTGGGTACAGAATTATCCAGGGGATCACTTTGTAAATTATATAATTGTCTGATCACTATACTGTACATCTGAAACTATAATATAAAATAATATTGAATGTCTAAAAAAAACACTCTTAAGATTTTGTTTTTATTTATTATTAATTTAAGACCAAGTTTGACGAGATTTAATTAGGCATTCTTTGCAGTATTTGCAAATAGCTAAGCAGTGCCAAATATTTATCACAAATTTCCTAGCACTCCTCTCCTCTTTTTCTTTTGCCCCAAGACACCTGAAATGACAACATATACCCATCAGTAACCACAGCAACTAAAATTCTGATATGTTCTCTCCAATTAGAAATATCCCCTTTTAAAAGCACCAAAAGAGTTCAAGAAGCAAGTTGACTAAGGAATGATGTCTACTTAGCTGATGGCATTTTGGGGAGGAGGGTTGTTATTGTTGTAAAAATGCAAACGTGTTTCATAATTAAAATGATATAGTTCTTACCACCTTTTTTTGAAATACTGATTTCCTCCCCACAGTTTTTGTCTCCAGTTATTGCCAAAGCCTTTTGTTTTGAATTCTGTGTCCAATAGTAAGTTGCAGTTGACTTGCAATATGAGCACTTGCATGTCCTCTGCTGTATAACTTGCTCACCTTGTAACTGCATGTTTTATTGTGAATTTAAAGCAGCTTAGAGCAGTAGTTAACTGTGATTGGGGGTTTTTAAATATAACTTGCTGTTCAGAATTTTTGAATCTAGAAAGAACAGACTTAAGTCATTAAGATTTGTAGTGTGCCGGTATTGTTAAAGATAAAGTTATGAACATGTCTTTGAGAAAAATTGTCTTGGGAAAACAATTTTGTACATTTTGAAACGTTGCAGATTTTGCACAGCTATTTTTGGCCTTTACGTGAATATACCTTAGTATATTCTTTAAAAGTTATATGTCTAATAATTTTGGCATCACCAGGGAATCTTTAAAGTAAAATATTAATAAGGGCATTTTTATTTAAAATGTACATTTTAGAATAGGAAGGAATCGATACGTTTATACTCCATTTTACAAATTAAAAAAATAAAACAAACAAACCGGGTTCCTGAAAAAGGAAGTGACTTACCCAACTTTACAAAGGGGATTAATGGCTCTTTTCAGTTATCTTCCTTCTATTCAAGAAATTTGAAATATGAAGGACAATAAAAATAACCTCCCTGAAGTTTCAGAATGACAACACCATGACTGTACTGAAAGTAATGGGCGTTTAACCAGATGTCTGTTCACTCCCATGTGCTTTGTCATCAATGAAATAGCTTACAAACTGCCCTATGGGTAGATCTCAGTTATCTGAGAAAGAGGAAGTTATACCTATCAGGTATTAACATAAGCAAATAGAAATAAACTTGTTGATGAATGTTAGCATTTTGTTTTTCATTTAAATTGCTGTTGTTACTAGGTTTAGACCTACAACAAATCCCTCCCCTCCCCCCAATGTAAACCTGCTACTTTGAAAGCAAGCCTCTAACACTGGAAGCCAATCAATATACAGTATATATATATTTGGTAATTCTTTCTGAAATATTTCCTTTTTAAATTCTATGCCTCTGGATTTTTTGGGGGGCGGGGGGGTGGCCACTAATTCTGTGCTGAGCTAGAAAGGAGGTGGGACTTTTGAAAGGAATAAGAAACATATATATTCCATAGAAGAGACTGGAAAAGATGTATAGATCCAGAGTGAGCTGTGCACACCAGGAGTTTGTTCACACCCGATAAAGCAAGTCCTTCCTCTTGGAGGGAAAACAGTGAGCTCATTAGTATCACAATGGGCAGCTTTGAAAATATTCATTGAGAAGTCTCCAGCACAGTAGTTGGCCTTGTGTTATCTCTGATTTCACAGATTCTTGTTAAACCAAGGCTTATACTCAAATAGCTTTGTCATCCACTGGAGCAATTTCTTTCCTAAAGTCACAAACAAAATGCAAATTCTCGAGTAGTGAATCAGTTTAATAGATGCATAAATCTTCAATTATCTTTTATCTTTTGATTTTTTTAAATCTAAAGAACAGAAAATAATATAAAACTGAAAATTTGAGCTTGGCTGTAATAATTTTTGAAAAATATTTAGAAAATGAAGGTCATGTAACTTCTAAGACAATTAAAAATTAACTAATTTAATTGCAAGTTTGAATGTCATTCCTGAGTATCAGGAGTTTAGAACTATTCAGTAATTGCATCACAATATTGTACAGCATTTTTATTATTACTACTATTTGTATCATTTCTCTTTTCCGTGATGTATATAAATTTAGATTTTTTTCAGCTGAAATTGTGATCATGGCAACAACCTAATTTTTAGAAGAAAATGATCCTTGAAGCAAAAATATTTGCAATAAGAAAAATAATTTTTCATAAATCATTCTGTGGCAGTAACATTTTGGACATTTTTTGTCATTCCAGTGATTGATGATATGTCAGTCATGAGGAAACTTACACATTTTAGATTTTAATTTACTGGACAATGTTTTACTAAATGAAGTAGAGTTCAGAATGAGGTAGAATAGTGAATATTGTTTTTTCACTGAGCTGATATATAATTATTGAAAGAGGAGATATGGGGACAAAATTCATCACAGTTAAGATTGCTACATTCCCAGGTAACCATTTTATTGTATAATCTTGGCTTAGAAGTTAAAGGTAAATTGGATCAAATTAAAGTCAAATGGAAAAAATCAGTATAAGTAAAAATAATTTTAATAATTTGAAAATTACCCAGAATGCATGAGTTAGGTTCACACTACAGGAATCAAGGAGTCAAGGAATCCTGAGAGAAAGGAGAGTGATTTCGCTGACTGTGCAGTATTTAGAGTAGTTAGTGTGCATGTGGGTGTCTATATTTGTATACATGTGGGTGTCTATGTCTACCCCCATACACACACACATGCATCTATTCTAAAATTCTACCTCTGAAATTACAGGTATAGCACAAAATCCTAGCTATAGAAATTGCGTAAGCTTGATATTGTAAAACTTACTGCTTACTATTTTCCTATATAAAATTGGGTTTATAAGTCCAAGGAAAGTAGGATTTAAGGAAGATAATAGGCCATGGCTGGGCAGCTCAGTTGGTTGGGCATCATCCCACGCACTGAAAGATTCCTGGTCAGGACACATGTCCAAGTTGCAGGCTCAATCCCCGGTAGGAGGTAGTTGATTGATGTTCTACTCTCACATAGATGTTTCTCTCTCCTTCTCCCTCTCTCTCTAAAAATCAATAAAAAATTGTAAAAAACAAAACAAAAACACCCAAAATTCTTTAAAAACAAAGAGAAAGAAAGGTAACAGGAAAAGATGACTTTGTGATAGGGCCGCTGACAACACCAACAGCAACTTTGCTACCAGTTATAAAAAGTCACTCTCTAGGTGGATTAATCACAAAAAGGTGCCCCACCCCAAGACCTTTTCACATTTAGAAAAGGTACTCCTGCTTTCTGCCTTACACAGTCTAGTGCAAGACATAAAGTAGGCCTGGCTAGTGGATCATGGGCTGGATTTCAGCTTCTCATGCTCGCTCTCCCAGATACAACCTGGATTGACCCTGTTCTATGAATTTCAAACGTAGGCTGCACTTCCTGAGATGAGTGTGTGCGTGAGAGAGAGAGTATGTACTTGTCCGTAATGCTAAAGGCCTTTGAGCTACTTTCTATTTGTTCAGTAACCTTTTCATTAGGACCTTATGTTTCTTTTGATAAGTGCACTTATGTGTTCTAAACACCCTTTAAAGAAATTTTTATGGAGATGCCACATCTTGTTCTTGTTTTACTGGCAGTGACTAATTTAGCCATGCACATTGGTAGATCAGGAACAAATTCAGAGTTAGGTCAATTCCAGTATTTAAGGAACATAGAGACAGTCCTTTAAATTGTCCATTCATTCAGCCAAGTAGGCTGTGACATTTGCTTTGCTACAGCCTGCTCTTGGGCAATTAGAATTTGCAAGTTAATTTAGTTAGCCATGTCCCTTGTTGTGCAGAGACTCTCGACTTCCTAAATGTACAAACAAGACAATCACTGAAAAGCCTCTTGTCTGTGTTTATTCACAATAATCATACAGTGCTGCCAACTAATCACATTTTTCACCTTATTCTATACATTTTGATTGAATAAACTCCTACTGAGATACCCTATTACACCAACAATCGGTTTTTTGGTTGAGTCATAAATTTTCATCTTTCTTTGCACTAAGACTTGTGGTTAAAGAAGCGGGGATCCTTTAACCTCTTCTCTCCAGGAAAAGAGCAAAGCCTCCCTTGTTCATAGAACATGA